GTAAAAAAATGTAATGACTTCTCAAGTCATTTGATAGGTTACTTTGTTAACAAATGCAAATATCAGTTACAATCATGTTATGAGATCCTAGAATTCTTTAAAGCTTAAGCTTTTGGGTCACTTATCTTAGCACTTTGAGCAATGTGGGATAAGATTCAAGACAATTTAAGTCGTAAATCAAAACATTAAGCATTAGATACAAATCTAAATTCTAAAATGGATGTCAATGAATCATTGCATGTCTCATCAAATCAAATAATCTTGAAATTTCAAAACAAAAAGGTGTACCTCGATATTGACGCCGCCTACAATTGATTCCTCATCTTCGCCTCCCACATACAAAATGTAACTCTCATCCACACCAAATTGAAGCTAACATCCAAAGAACATATACATCACATATTTTTTCAACAGCAAAGAAGACAACCAACCAAAAAGAATAAGAAAAAACAGTTCCCAATTTACTCACCGTCTCATCACCAGAAGCAATCACCAAATTCAAACCAGTAACATCATACACTTCACCTTCATCCGAAACCCTAATGCCGTCCGAACCTTTTCTTCCATTCGCCCTGTACCCAAATATAATTCCTTTATATCTCTCGAACGCCTCTCTGAGAATGTCTGAATTCGCCCCCAGTCCTTTGATGTGGAGAGATAGGTTGGGATCGACGGAGAGTGTGGAGTTCCCGTGTTCGAATTGCTTCGGAAGCGGCCATATGTAAATCGGAGAATCGTCGTTCGATATATGAAGAGTGTTCTGGAGAATCCTTGTGGTTTCGAGGATTGGGATTGCCGAAAAGAACACGAGGACGAGGACCCAAATATCGGAGGGTGCCGGCATTGCCTCAGGCCACCTGGATCGGTAGAGAAGAATGTGGTCGCCGGCTCACCGTAGACCGGAACTGAGATTAAGATGTGTCACTTACCACTACAGCACTACTTGCCTGTCTGCCTGACACCGTAACAGTTTAAACAGAACAAGACGTTAAAGATTGTTTTTGTATGACGTCATAACTACGAAACAATAATTTTTTGTTTTTTGCAAATTTTTGTTCCCCTCAATTTATAAACAAAGATGTGAGGTTTAGATGACAAAAATAAATTAGAAATATATTTTAATGATTCATTGATACTCAAACAATTGTCTTTCCATATTTTGAAGTGGTGAGAATTTAATGTAGCAAAATATTCCGTTGTAATACATATGACGAAAGATATTTTGGCTATATCAATGTTAAAAGTCACATCTGAGTCATCTTTTAGTATTGGAAGACGTGTAGTTCAAAAGTTTAGAAGTACTCTAAACACAAAAGTTGTTGAAGCCTTGTAGTCAAGATTGGATTCGTACAAATACCAGGTAATTTCATATAATTTCAAATTTTATTTTATTTTATTTTATTTTGTAAATAATGACAGAGAAGAAGAAAAAATCAAACTCGGTTATTTCGGACGTAGAAACTATGAGCTCGATTGATCTTGATCACTATAACGATTATATTTTTGATAGTAGTGAAAAAATTGAAGATTAATTAATTTCGATCATTTTTGTTAATTTAATGAAGTATTATCTATTTGTATTTGGACTATTTAATTTTTAACTATTTGAACTATTTACATTTAATTCAGTATTTTAATTGCATTAGTAAATAGTAACATATTAATATTACTGTTTAAAATAAATAAAAAATCAATATTTTGGCCGGGGAGGGGCCATTTACACTGATTCCCTACCCTAGACCCGGTGACCGAGGCACAGGACGGGACGGATCAACCTGCCCTGGAATTATTAAAAAAACTAAAAATTATAAGATACAAATTATAAAAAAATAATTAAAAGAGTAAGTCTAAAATTTAAAATGGGTAAACTTTTTAGTTTTTACTCTAATTTTTAAAAGTAAAAATAAATCTAAAATAGAAAATAAAGTTTAAGGATTAAGACCTAATTTTAAAAATGTAATAAATTCATAATCTTAATAATCTATATCTAATATAATATATTAAAAAAAATTTTTTTTTAAATCTGCGAAATCAGGTTATATTCCGATATTTTGGTGTCCTACACGACGGTCCTTCCCGGGTTTTGCCCTGCTTTCGAGTCCCGTCTCGAAATATAACCAAGGCAACAGGGCAAAAAATTAAAAAACATAGCAGAATACCTGGCCCGAAGTGGTTACCATCTGGACGCAGAACGGAACAACTCGCCTGTTTTCATTTTTCACCATGTTAATTAATAACCTAACATTTTATCATCTTTAAATAACAAAACATTTAAATCAAACATTTTATACCCATTTTACACCCATGGTTGTAATGCAAAAAAAATTCTTACTGAAAAAAATTACAAGTGACGAAGAAACCCGAAATCTATAAATTATATTTTAGGAATCTATAAATTATATTAGAAGCAGCGAACAGAACAAAACAAAATCGAAATCTATAAATTTTGGGAATGAAGAGAGATGGCTAGGGTTTATGTATGTGTTGGGTTTTTTTGTTTTTGTTTTTAACTTTGATTTTATTTTAATATAAACGAACAATTTAAATTTTTTTAAATATGAATGAATGTTAAATTTAGGTTACTTTAGATTATTAAAATGTCACATAGATTAAACAAAATTACCTCGTAAAATCGAGATAATATTAATGTTATGCACATAACACAATATTTTGATAATGTTGGAATTGGATGTAAAAACAAAAAATAATTTGAATACAAAGTTCGATTTGTTGGGATTGATTCTAAAAGAATTTCGTCGCCAAGTATTATTAGAATGAGAGGAGAATAATATTTTTCTGTCAATGTTTCATTTTCTACGACTTTGATCGATATTTTTCCAACATTTTTAAAAACATAAAGAGAAAAATTATCGATTTAAAAAGTCACAACCGTCATGTTATAATGGCGTGGCAAAGTTAGGTCACTCCATTTTGAATTTCCGCCACGATTACTTTTCGAGAAAATTTCATTTCCCACGAAAATGAAGAGTATTAGTAGCAGATTTCTCCTATGAATAACTTTTTTGATGAGAATTTCGACAACATCATTGGTGGTGGTTTTAATGTTAATTTTATTATGATTAGTGACGATTTCGACTATTTCTTCAGTTAAGTCAGGAAATTCTATCAATAGTTTTGTATCACCACTCTACCTCGTTTCATCTGATAAATATGGATGACAACAGCCAAAAACATGTTGATTTTAATAAAACCTTCCATATCCAAACATTATCATGACTACCTGTCGGAGAATCATTTGTTTTTCTTAAATCATAGGTTCCTTTCCATTCACAAATACTGATGGTTTCCCTGGTTTTAAGTATGTTCTTCCACGTAGCAAAATCTGAAAGTGAACATACCAAATTCAGTCCTATTCTTATCTGAATCAAATCCTGCTTAATAAAACCAAAAAATTATTATAAAAAAATGAATCGAGTGTTTGTCATAAAAGTTTATTGACTTGTTCATGTACAAGATGATGAGTTTGTAGGTTCCAGAAGATCGCTTTCATAAATAGCAGGAAGATTTAAATCAAGTGAAAAAGATTTAGAAGAGTGTGCCGATTGTGGTGAGTTTCTAATTAGGTATTGCGTGACTGTCCTGTGTTTTCGCATATGACCACCTAACGCTTGACCTGAGAAGAATTCGATTCCACAAATCCAGCACTTGTGAATTTTTTTCTCCGTAATTTTAAGCTTCTTGTGACTCGTCTGATGATCATTGAAGGCTTGAAATGATGCAACCCTTTTGTTGCGTGTTTTTCTTTTGTACCATTGGATATCTTTTAATTTAGATTCTTTCTTGTTTTCTATAATAGGATTATCTATGATGATCTCATTGCTTGAGAAGATCATCTTATTCTGGACATCTCCTGTCCTTTCCGATAACTTTAACGGTAAATCTTTGTGAAGGAGAAAGAGTCCTTCGATTGCCGACTTCTCATGGTCCGTCCATGTTAACGATGTTGACACAATCTTGTTGGATTTTTCCTGATAAATATTCCTCCTCCATGGATCCATCTCCATCAAGATGGGTGATCTTTATGTTGATTCCTTCAGTGTGCAAAGAAAGCTAATCAGGTTAATAAATGAAATTGCATTAAATGAAAAAATTTATATATACATTGAACTTATTTATATTAATACAAGCCTAACTGATTAACTACTAACAATTCTCTAACTAATCATCCTGAAGCTAAATATCTTGATATTGGGCCTCTAGGTCAGCCTTGTAGAGTCTTTCTTTCTGGGCTTAGACTAGTTGGCTTGGTCCAATATGATCAATCAGATGATGATGGCATTGGTAAGCTTATCAGTAGGGGTGAGAAAGAGGCAGGTCGTGGGTGGGGTACCCTGTCCCGGTATCCGTCCCGTTCTGTTAGAACGGGTTCGGAACATGGCAGGTCAAATACCGTGATCCCCTACTCGAACCCGGCGACCCGCTCTGGAATTATAAAAAATTAAAAAATTTATAAAATGTAAATTAAAAATAATAATTAAAAGAGTAAAACTAAAATTTAAAATGGGTAAACTTTTTACCCTAATTCTTAAAAGTAAAAAAAAATCTAAAATAATCATAAGGTTTAAAAGCTAAGACCTAAGCTTAAAAATGTAATAAATTCATAATCCTAATAATCTATATCTAATACAATATATTAAAAAATTATTTTTTAAAAAAAATGGGTCGAAACCGAGGTGACCCGTCCAGGTTTCCCCTTGCCCCAAGACCCACCCCGAAATATAACCGGAGCAAAGTGGCACGGAAAAAAAAATTGAGAACGGGATAGAACACCTACCCCGAACCCGGTTACTAGGGTGTCAAACGAGCCGAACCGAACTTTTTCTTATAGAACCGGACTTGGCTCGTTAAGGAGTTATCCAGGCTTGGGCTCGCCGAACCTGATTTGACCGAGCTCGGGCTCGTTTTAAGAATTGCTATGTTCTGGCTCGAAAGCTGCGAGCCCGGACTCGAACTTAACCTGTAGATTAAAATAATTAATTTGGAGACGTGGGGGATCGAACCCATGACCTCTCGCATGCTAAACAAAACTTTAACCATTTGTGCTACATCTTCATTTTTCAAAATTTAATATATTTTTATTTTTTTATACTTCTTACCGAACCAATCGATCTTAACGAGCTTGAGCTTTAGGCTCAGGCTTGACTCGTTGGACTCGCGAGCCCAAACTTTACTTGACACCCTACCGATTATCACCGAGGCGAAGAAAGAGGTTGTACCGAGGCGACCTGTCCGGTTCTCACCCCTACTTATTAGTGCCTCTCTATAAAGTCACAAAATAAACGATTGAAGATGTTAGAATGTTGTTGAAGGATGAATATAAAAAAGAAAATATGAAATGTAGTGGTGATTTATGTAGAATAAAAAATAAACCAAATGTGTGGACATTAGTAGTATTGAAACTGAGCAAAAAGTAAGTGTGGTCTCTTCCAGTTGCAAACAGGAACAAGAAAAAAACTCTCTATGACAACTCTTGAAAATTAAAATTTACAAAGAAGACTCAAATTTTATTTTAGCATCTGTTCATGAACATGTTTTTAGATAAAATCCACATGGTTAATTATTGATTTTCTTCTTCTGTGATTGTTCTTTAGATGAGAATTGGTTGCATACGTTTGTTCCTGGACACACGTCTAATCAGGTACGACTCATAATAAATCTAACTGTGGTTTGATTTGAAATCTGCCATAATAAAATATGTGTAAAAAAAAAAAAAATCTTTACTAGGTTTTTTTTATGCGATGCGTAACTGATTTCATATTTCTATAAACCACGTTTATAAAATCATATTCATATTTCATAGGTTGATTTAACATTTAATAAAGATAAGGTCAACGAATGAAGTATTGAATATGGACAAAAACGTAATAATTGTCCGTCACTCCTTTCCCATTAAACCACTAGGGACATTTTACCAAATAAAAAATAATAGGTCAACGTCGAAAATTTTCGCATATTTTCAAATTAGTCCAAAAAATTTTTTATGCCAAAAAGCCACGTGGGAAAATAACCGTTATTTCGAGATTTCCTTCCATTAATGGTCCATCTCGCTTGCCATTCTGTCCGCATACATCCCCCCAGACTCCAGTCTCTACTGCTATTTCTCTAGCGCCAATAGAGATCAATGCCGGAGGAAGTAGAGATGGAGAGTGCGGCGGTGGAAGGAGATGATGCTGTTGAAGAATCGTCGGGGACGAGTGGTCGGGGAGGAATGCGGAGGGTGAAGGTTATACCTCTGCAGCATCCGACGCCGTCGGATGTGCCGTCGTTTGGTTCATCGGTGTCGAGTTTGTGGAGAAAGTGGAGGTCGAAGTTGGAATCGACGACTTCTACGGAGTGGTTGGGGATTTTTCTGCCTTGTTCGGTGTGGATCAAGACGTATAAGTGGAAGAAGTATCTCCGTCTTGATCTAATTTCTGGTATTACCGTCGGTGTCATGCTCATTCCTCAGGTATGTATGGATGGTTTTCTATTGATTTTATTTTATTTTTTCAATTCGCTTCATCATCTGATGATTTCGTTGTTGGGGTTTGGGAAAACCTTTATTCTGTCTGCAACAGTCGATGTCTTATGCAAAATTGGCGGGACTTCATCCTATTTATGGACTTTGTGAGTGCTTATGTGATTTTTCTAGCTACTTTTGCTATTTGGTTCTCATCTCTTAGTAATATATAATAATTACATAATTCAATTGTGTTTTTATTTTTTAACAGATTCAGGGTTTGTTCCCATATTTATGTATGCGATATTTGGTTCCTCGAGACAAGTTGCAATTGGTCCTGTGGCTCTTGTGTCACTCTTGGTTTCCAATGTATTGGAAGAGATTGTTTCTCCCTCAGATGAACTGTATACAAAACTTGCAATTTTATTGGCATTTATGGTTGGTGTCATGGAGTGTACAATGGGATTATTGAGGTTTGGAATCTATTTTATTGGCATTTATGGTTGGTGTCATGGAGTGTACAATGGGATTATTGAGGTTTGGAATCTATTTTGTTTTCCTTTACCAGTTGCTTGCATGTATGTCACTGCATTCACTAGCTTGCATGTATGTCACTGCATTCACTAGCTTGCATGTATGTCACTGCATTCACTAGCTTGCATGTATGTCACTGCTATATAGAAATGATGACCTAACTATTTCATTTTAATACCATTACATTCATTTACACTTTGCTTCAGGCTTGGATGGATCCTCCGCTTCGTAAGCCATTCTGTTATTTCTGGATTCACTACATCGTCAGCTATTATAATTGGGTTGTCTCAGGCCAAATATTTCTTGGGATACGAGGTTGAACGTAGTAATAAGATTATACCTCTTATGCAAAGTATAATTGGTGGTGCTCACAAAGTATGTAATTCTTTTCAAAATATTTTGTTTTTATATCATAATCTGAACACTAAGAGAGAATGTTAATACATATTTTCGTGGTTTTCATTTTAATTCCCATCCATGAACGAAATGATTTTCGTGGTTTTCATTGCCCAAGAAGGAGAAAAGCATGGGTTGCTTGTTTCTTAATAGCTCACTAATAGTTACTATATAACTAGATTACATAGCTAATGGGAGAGAGTCAATGAGCTTCTTTCTCATTTCTTTTTACTTATGTTTTATTTCTATACTCTATTTTTGTAAACTGGGCAGTAGCCTTATTTTTTAATGAAATTTAATTGCTTCAAAAAAAAAAAGGGGAATGAAAATGATTCACACTTGATAAATGAAATAAAATTCTGTAACACATGGAATAAACAAGCAGAAGACAGTAAATTTTTGGATGCATCCTTAGTTCTCATTTCTCAATTATTAGTTTATTGCAATCGATATTTTGTTTGGACTGGAAGTAGAAATTATTGTTAATTCAATGTAATTTATTATGATTCCATCCTATTGCAGTTTAAATGGCCTCCTTTTTTAATGGGTTCTATTATTCTCACAATTCTTCTAGCGATGAAGCACTTGGTATCTCTTCTACTTATCTCTCTTTTACGACGCATTTCAAAAATTAGATGTGAAATTTAGTTTAGGGATCATTTATTATTATTATTGCTAAACTTCCAGGGAAAGTCAATAAGGAGATTGAGGTTTTTAAGAGCAGCGGGACCACTTACAGCAGTTATTCTGGGAATAATTTTTATGAAGATATTTAATCCTTCTTCAATACCTACTGTGAGTATTATTTTCATTGATGCTCTAAAATTTACGATCAAAAGAAATTTTGCCTGTCTTATTTAATTGTTTTAAATTTTAATTTTAAAATATACAATAAGTGATGTAGAATATAATAGGTGTAATTGAGCAATCGGGTGGTTCTTTACCCGAACTCTCTCGATTACCCTCTCTGGAAAAGCGCTCCTCCAAGAGAGCTTTAGTGCGCTTAAAACGACGCTTTTAAAACTATGGTAGTGGTTAATATGGAGATAGAATACTTGGTAGTGGTTACATTGTGAAGATAGTCTATGCAAGGGTATTAACTTAAATTTTACTAAAAAGAACTCAAGTTGATTGGGTTCTTCTCAGCCAAATAATAGTCAAATGTTGTTCTGAACGGGAACAAGCGATGAAACGAAATTGAAATCCTCTAATAGTCTGATGTAGAAAGGTCTGAAATCTACAAGATAACAAGAAAAGTGAGAAAATAAGAATATCTCAAATGGGAATTAACTGCTTTCTGTTTTCTTCTACAATCTGATTTATACTCACATCGGTCAAGAGTGGAATTCCATGACATGAGAGTTGCATACAGAATTAAAGGTAGCTGACACATGTTTGCACAAGGTTAAGCATGTGACTTTTTTTGCAAACAGTCAAGGTAGTACCTTGAAATTACAAAGTGGAAAAGAAATTTCTCACTACATCGACATTCTCCTATGTGTCTAAGTGTCTAACACTCTTAGTGATCTAATAACTAAGAGTTGAGCCTCAAGATTTTAGTTTCTCAAACTTGCATAATATTCTTCTCCATTTGTAAACCACAACCTTTCTTAAAAAGCTCAGATGTAAAGGAAAGGATGGAGTTCTTGATGATTTCCATGAACAATGCCTCAGGAGGCCTGAGAGATGCTGTCGTAATCTTCTTTTCCTCTCAGATCAGATGCGCCTAGTGAGTCCTCTACTTGTGTTCCAATGAAGGTGCATGATGTGTCAATTTCTGGCAAGCTTCAATTACATCTCCCAGTCTGATGTTTGGGGTGGGTAAGGGTTGGGACTTGGGGCTGTTAACAGTTGAAAATTTTAGTGCCAAGATGTTCTACATCAATAAGTCATTTCCTGGTATGTTAATTTCATATCATAGTAAATTTGTGTCCTCAAGTATAGAGTTTTTGGGTATTATAACAAGCTAAATCCTAAAGACATGCAATTAAAATGTATTATTTATATCAGGAAAATTATTTTTCTGGTAAGTTGATGATTGCAGCCATCTATGGGAAAAATCAGAGGGGGGATAGAATGCCCCTCTTGTTGGAACTCCAACATCTAGGTAACCCTCCCACAGTCCTCCCATGGATAGCCCTAGGAGATTTCAATGAAATCAGATCCCCTGAGGAAAGAAGCAAGGGCACCTACAATCATGGAGGACCCTCAGAGTTCATAGAGGCCACAAATCAAGCTCAATTCCTAGAGATCCTATCAATAGGTGGAGACTTCACCTGGACCAACAACTCAACTGGTGAAGATTTCATACAATCCAAACTGGATAGGGCCTTTACCAATCAAGCATGGATAGACTGCTGGCCTGATACTAGACTGGAATTCTTCAATGGCACCAGTGACCATAAAGGGATGATAATCACTTTCTCCCAGGTGGAAAAAGGAAACCTTCCTTTCAGACTATTTAATTCTTGGCTAGAAGACCCAGACTATCTAAAACTAGTCAGAGAAGGTCTGAGCTCTGATGTTCAAGGCACTGGACTTTATAAAATGCAAGTTAAACTTAAGAGGGTCAAAGAAATGACTAAACAATGGCTTGGTAGGAAAGGGTAGCTTCCAAAAGAAACTCTCAACTGCAAAAGAAGAACTGGAAAAGGCTATGCAATCTCTAGAATCCTCACCAACA